TGAGTGTGTGTGTGTGTGTGTGTGTGTGTGTGTGTGTGTGTGTGTTTCTCGTGTTACCGTCACCTCCGGTCCCGTCTCTCATCTCTCCGTCGAGCGCGAGTTTAATGGCGCTTTAAGGAGCGAACAATAGCACGCGGCGCGTGAGGCGCTTCACACCCGGATCAAAGCGTGAGAAACACAGTCATAAACCGCATCAAAACACTGGAATGTGTCCATCGTGTCAGATCACATTCATCTACTTCTACACGGTTTATGACATTTCGATTATTTTCACCAGTAAAGTATTTCACTAAAACTTAAGTTTGAAATGTTTTACAGTGAATATTATGAGGTATTATAAAGTCCTAGTTATTATAAAGTCCAAATTTGCCAGTGTATGTCACATAAAGAGTATTTGTAAGCTATAAATAGATAAATTAATTAGTTGAGATTTATTTAATTCTATTCACTTGTCAGCAGGATCTAACTAAAATGTTATTTTTTATTTTTTTGGACGTCACGAATATATTTGTATGCTTGCATTTTATTATTTTAGTAATTAAACAAAAATATCCGATGTTTTTTGCTCAGAGTCGGGGGAATCGTGTCGAGCTCATGTTTCATGTGACAGACAGCCGGCCGGACCAATGGGAGACGGTCCTCCCCTCAGTGGGCGGGGCTTGCCGGCGGTCCTCAGCCTCGCGATCGTCCACCTCTGCAGCGCGCGCAGTCCTGAGCGAAACTCCGCGTCCGAAAGTGTGTCTGAATGTTTTTGTCGAAGCTATCTTTCGCACTTCACGGTTCAGCGCAGCGACGAGTGGAGTACAAACGAGTTTAAACGAACTCTGGGATTAGAGAGTTTTCTGTGGCAGGACAGGGTGTGTGTGGTGTGTGTGTGTGTGTGTGTGTGTGTGTGTGTGTGTGTGGACTGAAGTTAGTTTAGAAAGTTTATTGCCTAAACTTCTTCATGATTCGGATTTTCGGAATTTTTGCATAATTAAAAAGCCCGTTTTATATCGGATTGCAGAGGTTTGAGAGACTGGATGTGAATCTAATGAGCTGACAGCAGGACTGTGAGATGGATCATGTTTCCTGGATTATGTCTCTCTTCTGGTTCTGGTTCTGGTTCTGGACTGGATTCATCACAGCAGAGGAAGGTACGATCCGAATTCATTATTACATGTTGTTATTAATGTGCACGGAATCTTTCTGTTAATACGGGAGTGTTCAGTGAAAGTAGTGGTTCCAGAACAATGCAACTGAAACATCAAAATGTGGAATTATTATCTTTTATCACTGACATTGATGGAATAACTTTTATTTTAAAGATTTTTTCGCTTTCACACTAGTGCATTTTCTTTCTGCATTTCGTTTTGGGATGAGAAATCATGTAGTCAACAGACAACAGTTTATTAAGTTGATTTTGTGCTGTGAATAAAATAACTCGTTTTAAAAGTTCTTCAGTGGTTCAGTAAAGAACCTCAATTTCTGCCCCTTTATACTTACAAACAGTGCTGGGGAAAGTTACTTTTAAAAGTGATGCATTACAATGTTGCGTTACTCCCTAAAAAAAGTAACTAATTACATTACTTGGTTACTTTTTATGGAAAGTAATGCGTTACGTTACTTTTGCGTTACTTTTTAAATCTGGACAGCGCTTGCTTGTTTGTTTTTAAAATAAAAAAGTTCTATTTTTGGCAAATATAAAAGCCTTTTCACACCAAAAGTGAAATGAATAAGCCTCAGGCTGAAGGGAAAGTACAGTAGAACGCAGAAGAAGAAATCTCAACACACTTCAGCAATAAACAAAGACACACAAATGTTGTCTGGAGTAATTAGTGCTTATTAGTACGGTTGAACTGGATCATCGAAGCTCAGAAGCAAATAGAATGGGATTAAATACATAAAGGATATTTGTGTTGTTTAACATTTAATTATTGCAGGTTTGCGTCATATTCTGAGTTGCATTATTTTTATTCATTTGAGGAATACTGAATCTGTGTTTTTTTTTGTGA